GGAAAATTTTTAAATTTGAATCCCGGAAATGGCATTTGCAGCATTCTGAGACACGCATAATCAGAAAACCCAGAATTCCGGGCGCCAGAGTATGCCTGTTCGCAGGTAGTGCTGGGAATAATATAGTTAACAACAAAAATCATGACCAAAGACACCAAAAACGGATCAAAATTGTATTTTAAAATACTCAAAACGCAGAAAATTGGGAATCGACTCGCATTACCTCAATCCCATTCCCATTTTTGAGGACTTCATTTCCCATTCCCAGTGGCCAAATCCCAGTCCCAGCAACCCAAATCCCATTTTCCCAGTCTAAAAATAGATCAATCCCAGTTCCCATTTTACTCTTCAGGGCCCTCTTGTACGCACGTGCTCAATTCCGAACTGCAAGGATAGAGAGCTCCAGTGACATATTCAGTTCAGTTTCAAAATGGCGGCATTTCACTGAGCGATCTAGCTAATATATATTTCACACAGTTTTGTTGAATTTTCAAAGAATTGTGCCAGTTTCCTATGAAAAATACATTGTGTCGCACTCTGGACTCCCTTGCGTGTTGAATAAATGTGTTTTTTTTTGTGTAACGACCCGAAAACCCCAAAATTTGGACCCAGCGAATTTATACAATATAGTGGATTATAAGCAAGGACAAGTTAAAGGTTTGACAGTTTGACTTTTTAATTAACAAGTATAAATATACGTTGTAGACTCACAAACATGCGTTGTGCACATAGATATAGGAGATCTAGATTGCTAACGCATACCTAGCGCAGGGGGGGGGGGCTACATGATAAATCCAAGATGGCGGTACAACAGGGCAAAAAGACTATAAATTCTATTACGAAAATCAGGATTTTTGCATTTTTTGCCGTCGCATTGTTTTGAAACCTATTCGGTCAAATTTTATGGTAAAGATAAACTTACCGCGAAGATTTTGAGCATATATATATATGATTGAATTGGATGAAAACTCGCAAAATTATCCATCGATAAAAGTTCGTGTATAGTACTGATATAGTACTATATATGTAACTTGTACAGTTTTGCTTTAATTTTTGCTCACTATTTGCATAAAAAGCAAATTATAACAGATCATAGATGATAGACCCTCATCCAGTGCTCTTCTCTAACAAGCAAGGAGGGGGTACATAACAGTTCATTTTTTATAATTATGAGGACAGAGCAGATGATGATGAGAGATGCAAGTATAAAACACCATTCACAAGGCTAGATGTTAACATATCACAGTATTTCTGGCAATAAAACGCTCCAACTGACCAACTGACCATTTCACACGAACTTTTATCGCTGGATAATTTTGCGATTTTTCATCCAATTCAATCATATATATGCTCAAAATCTTCGCGGTAAGTTTCTCTTTACCATAAAATTTGACCGAATAAGTTTCGAAACAATGCGACGGCAAAAAATGCAAAAATCCTGATTTTCGTAATATAATCTATAGTCTTTTTGCCCTGTTGTACCGCCATCTTGGATTTATCATGTAGGCCCCGCCTGCGCTAGGTATGCGTTAGCAATCTAGATCTCCTATATCTATGGTTGTGCACTTGTATTCATTTGCATAATTATAGATTTGCACCTAATTACATTAATTTGCACCAAATTACTTTCCATTTCATCATATATTACTATAAAAATGAATGTATTTTTTCGATTGTATTCAGCGAGGTGGCGTTGCGTGCGGCGAAGTGAAACGTGGTACGGTTCGATTTGTTTTTGGAACAAGATCCAATTTTTCCGCTCGCTTTTTAATTCTTAAATTGTTTATTAGATGTTTACTGGTTGGGGTTGGGGTTGGGTTGGGGTTAGAGAAGGGCTTGGGGTTGAGATCAGTTTATCTTATAACTGGAAGCAAATTGGCGTATTTTTTAGAAGAATCGTCTATGTCTATGAACATTTTAGCACCTGAAACGAGCCATATAATAGCATTAAAAATCAAGGACTATATAATTTATTCGCTATTATTGACCCATCATTATTTACGGTTGATAGTTACAGTGGGCCTGGCTTGTCAGGTTGAATTGCCCGTAGCTGTAGGGTTATATTACGGTTGATAGTTGCTAATCATGATTGTATTTACTGGTTGTATGTATATGGTCCAGACCCCCTGTATCCTTATCTACTTCTCTACTACATATTACACCCTCCACGAAAGTTGCCATTTTCAGGCCAGTGTGAACGCCTGAGCAGGCATCTTGTTTACATTAGAACCCAAGCTTTCGAGGCTCACGATGATGTCACGCATATATATGTCACGTGAACGTTCAAATCGCTACAAACGTGACGAATCTTATGACATCATAAGCAGCCTTGATAAAATATTTTGGGGACAGGTTTGTGCCATATATGGAAGTTTGGTTTCCTGTCGCTTCGAACGATAAAATAATTGGATGATCTTGCCCTCCCATTATTAGTGAAAATCACGGGCGTGACATCAGAGTCGTGGCGTAATATTTCGCGTGAGCCTCGAAAGCTTGGGTTCTGATGAATATAAACATGGCGGATTTTGAAAATATACAGTAGGAGCACTGTCAAGCAAGATATTGAGCAGTTCAGGTGTTAACTGCTATTTAGATTGAATACTATTTTTGTCAAATTGAATTGGTCCTAAAGGCCGTGGTCACTGTTTGTAGTGCAAATCACGGACATGACATCAGAGGCGTGACGTAATATTTCGCGTGAGCCTTGAATGCTTGGGCACAGAATAAGGACCTGTGGCTTCAGTGCCTTTTTTAAGGAATTTTCACTGGGGGGGGGGGGGACAGGAAAAAAGGCAGAATGAAAAATATGAGCCGTCGAGGTTTGGCGAACGCGCGAGTCTGAAGAGAGATTTTGTAAAACTTTAATTTATTAACTTCAGCTATATTTTATTTTAAACAATAACTTCAACTCTTTGTAGCTATAATCGTACAGCTATAACCAGTGGCGTAGCCAAACCTTAATTTTGCGG